AGAGTGAAGCTTGGCTCCTTCCCAGAAACAGTCCAAAGGGGTGATGATGAGGCAGGGATTAAGATTTTCTATCATCTACATAGATAAACATAAAGCAGGATTTACACAAACTGATAACACACACACACACAGTTCTGTTTGATCTGGAATAGGGAAGAACTCTCACCTGATTCATGAAATGAGTTTCTGTCACGAATTCTCCTGATTTGTAGCATAAATGTTCCAATTCCCATTTTCTGAAAGAAACCAAAACTTTACAGTCACCTACTTTAAATTCAACTCTGAACTTGTTTTTAGAAAAGGCATAAAATATTGATCAAGACAGCAAAAGAAGAAGCAGAAAGCACAATAAAGAAGTCAGCCGTGACAGATCACTGCACAAGAGAAAACCACATAATGGACTGGGACAACACAAGGAGCATAAACACCGAACAACAGAAATACAACAGATGGATAAAAGAAGCTATAGAGATGAGGAGACGTGGATGTGGGACCGTGAACAGAGAGGGTGGAGTTTACACTTTGGGCCGCGCATGGGATTGCATCGTCGGAGAGGGGAGAGCGGGCAGCAGAGGGCGGCAACGTCCTCTGCTGCCCGCTGATAAACGGAGAAGGAAGTGACGCCACCATCAGTGTCAGCCTGAGGAAGTTTGCAGCCGCAAACGAAACGTATCGGGAAAACAGGTAAACAAAACTGTTCTGTGTTTTAAAAAAGAACTACAGCATGGAACTGATCAAGATAATTCAGCTGGAGGATTAAGTAGCTTCAGACGACAGGATTTGGAGACTTATTTTCTAGGGATGGGTACCGAATTCTGTACTTTTTAAGGTACCGACCGAATTCCATAGTACCGACCGAGCACCGATTCACGTCATTTGAAACGGTGCCTCGTTTCGGTACCCGTCCTTCATAACGAGAACTTACCAAGACAGCTGCGCATGCGCAAGAGCGTTATGTCGTCGGTCGCTGCGAGCGAGTTGTAAACAGAGCAGCATGGTAGAAAGAACGCACGCCAAAGCTTGGGTCCACTTCACTAAATGTGATGGGTAACTGGGTGATGATGAAACCAGCGACAACGATCTAAGTGTGAGGCATTATCGTTTTAATCTGCTCCGGTAGGTAAATATAATTAGCTTGATATGTTAGCTTCCGTTTCGCTAATGGTGCGTTCGCTTTCTCCTCGGAACTCCGAATTCCCTACTAGAAGAACATGCTCTAAAGTTTGGCTTCACTTTACTAAATGCGACGGGTGAAGACGAAACCAGTGACAACGATCTAAGTGTGAGGCATTATCGTTTTAATCTGCTCCAGCAGCTAAATAAACTGTTTAAGATAACATTAGCTTGATAAATTAGCTTCCATTGCCACCGTTGTTATCAGCTAATGGTGCGTTCGCTTTCTCCTCGGAAATTCTAACTTCCCAGTAGGAAAAATCAAATGAAAAAGGACGGCAAAAGGAATGAAGATACACAGTAAATTTAGTTCACAGTAAAGATGTTTGCTTCAGTTTAATTATCAGCTTATAAAACTACAAGGGCGATGTTAAAATACAAACAGTTGAATGTTATTTATCGTGATATATACCAAATATGGTTATATATTGAGAAAAATATATATTTAATTATAAAAGAGAATTAAAATAATGAACACTCAAAAGTATCGAAAATTGGTACCGTTAAGTACCGGTATCGATTCCTAGGTACCGGGAATTAGTACCGGATCGATTCAAATGTCAAAGGTACCCATCCCTATTATTTCCTGATATTCAGACTTGTCTCCTCTGATTGGCTAACAGCAATGTGACTTTACCACTGACTCTGTTTGCTTTGCAACTTTGATGTTTTATCTCCACAATGAACACAAGCATGGAGGAGTTCTGCTGTGAGGTGGAATTGCTAATGCTAATTGTTAGCTTCTACTAGTGTTTGTTGTTAGCCTCAAGGGCAACCTGCTGGCTTAATTATCACCTGTAAGTCGCTTTGGACAAAAGCGTCTGCTAAATACATGAACATAAACATACTAGCCTAGATGTTCTCTGCTGGTTCCTGGATGCTAAACCATCAACTGCCTTCCCCCTCATGAGTCACGATGGGTGAGCCTATGAATGCTAAGTGACAGCGTTACGTAGATCTATGAGGATTTTCTAATCCTAGATTTCCACGTCTATTTTCTATCAGAAGCTAATGCAGGAGATAGGTGTAGGAGACTATTTTCATGTTCTGCCTGCATGAAAAACTCAGTGATCGATTATAATCAGAAAGAATCGTTAAAACTTTTTTTTCATTGTTCCAGACTTTTAAAATAATACATAAAAATCGATAAAACTATTGTTCCCTATGAAATGTGATGCAGAACACAAATGTATGGTACAAAGCCAACATTAAATGACTAACTCGGAACAAGAAAGGTACAGAAAATGCATAGACGTCACAAAAAACACAGTATTTACCTGTTATAAAGGTAAACATGAACTCTGCTGGCTCGGAGAGCAGACTCCAGGTGCTGCAGGATGGCCTCCACCGTTAGAATGCTGGCCCCCTCCTCTCGCGGCGTCTGAATCATCAGCTGAGGGTTAAACATGGCTTCCTCGCCCATCTTCTGCCTGGTGTACTTCAGTTCCTGATTTACGCGTCCGCCAACTGGACAAGGACAGAGAAAGTCTTATATTCAGACCCCACACCCAATCACATTATTATTGCAAAATTCAATTTCTGCACTCATTATCAAAAGAACCGTGTTTGGGGTGTGTTCGTCTTTAGAAGATTTTTATCAAACGTAGAACATAAATAAATAAATAAATCATGGCCAAAGCGCATTGATTGCGTAGGTGTTTGACACTGCATGTCTGATGGAACCTGGGGGTGTACCCCGCCTGATTGCCCACTGACCGCTGGAGATAGGCACTAGCCCCCCCTGCGACCCTACATGGACAAGTGGGTTCAGAAGATGGATGGATTTCGAAATTACATTCATGTTTGTGTATTTGAGTGACTGCATGCATCTTCCAGATCAGTGTGTCTGATATGGGAGGGGATTTTGCCTAAAAGTGAAAGCTCGAGCAGTTCAGTCATCTTCTTTCAATTTGTCTTTCTGTCACTCCCACACGCACGCACGCACGCACGCACACACACACACACACACACACACACACAACTCGAACGTTGAACAGTGAGAGAGTTGACTGTGTGAAAAATCTGTAACATTTTATTATGTCTTAATCCAATTTAACAATTCGGCTCAATTTGTGCAACAGCAGGCATGGATTGAATGTTTTTGCTTCATTGTAATGGCATTAAAGTTGAACGTAAGCATGTCAGCTCTGCTCTGCCGGACCACCCAGTCAGACCAATGAAACGGGGAGGGAGGAGGCCATGTCTTGGGGCATTAGGAAAACACACTTGATTTCTTTTTTTCTGGACCCAAACAGCATTCCCATCTGATCCTGTCTGAAAGCATGTTTATAATACTCATCATTAATAGCAGGCCTTGGCTAACTGGAGCGACATGCTTTCCATTGCTAGGCCAGCGACACAGCTACGTTACACCAGCACTGCCTTCAAAGGAGTACGCATGGAACTGATTAAGACCCGACGTGCACTGACAGTGCACTAACAAGTCAACTTGTCTGATGCACTCAGCCCTCAAAGGCGAAGCTAGCCCCAGGCTTGGTTTAAGTGCACCGTCAAGAGGAAGGAAAGGAACACAGGTACAGGGAGAGGGGCGTTTATTTTTAAGCCTGTTTCCACACATGTAAGGACATAAAGCAAGGTGTAATTGAAAAAAGATGGGAGGATCGTGGTTAGAAAGAATCCAGTTCCTGTTCTGAACCCTTTCCAAGTTGTGGCCAACCACCCAAAGACTTTAGGTTTAAAGCACGGAATGGGACAAGTCAAAGGAATGCAGTCTTCCTGAACAGGAAACAGCACATTACAGCCTCGGGCCCAGAGAATTCCTCACTTCACGAGGTTGCAAAGTTTTGGGGTCAACACTCACACGGCCTTGGGGTGAAATTAACACCCCAGCTGGATCAAGAAAAAGTGTCAGCGTGCACACATGCTTGCAAACGTGCATGCATGTGCGTTCAAGTGTGTACACACAGCTGTGTTTCCTCAGTGACACATATTCCCTCATTTTTCGCCTGCGCAAAAAGAAAAAAACCTGGATGACCTCAGCTTGTGTTGATGACTTGAAGGTGTCCAGCTTCGAGCTCGGCTGCTGTGACCAAAAAGTTCACACTTTCCAAGACTCAGGTTTCTCACTAAGATATCCTCCTCTGGATAGAAAATAAAATGTATACAGCGCATATTCTAAATCAAACACTCCAAAATATATTTGTTATTTAGCTCGAGTGAATTCCACTCCATAGGGTTCAGCCCCTCTGGTTTGTGGTCAATAATGTATCTCCATAATCTGCCAATAATTAAATCCTGTTTTCCTGGAATGTTAAAGGATCAACGCAATCAGCGTGAATAACACTTTTAGTGTTTGGTGCCGTTTTAAAGCTGCACGCTGCAGTTCTCGTGAATGTTAGGCATTGCTTCAAAAACTGCAAGAGCACAAAGACTTATACATTAAAGGGACTTTACGGACGTTTTAATTTTTATGCTCGCGATTGCCCCCTCAGGCCAAAAGCGTAACGGCAGCTTCAATAGTAGGCTCGTGCACGAGGCACGCATGCTGTATGTGCACACTCCTTAACGAAAATTACAGCTGAGACAGTCCAGTGTGTGTGCGTGTGTGTGGCCAAGAGGACAAAGAACAGGAGAACGCACAGCTAATTAATGAAATAATTTGGTTCTGTACCTTTCTCTTCAGCACAGCCGACAAAGGTTTATGATGGGTCAGCCCTCCTGCATGCTCAGATCATTCCCTTCCCTTGCTTGAAAAATTGTTCCAAAATGAAAGTTGAACCCACAACTTTTTTATCTGTGAATTCAATGCCGTTCGGCGAGTCTCAAATAAAAATTTGGGATTCTTACTGTAAAAAAAATATACCATTAATGTAAAAAATAAACTCTAAATAAACTATGTTCACACCCAGAATCAAACCCAGGTCTTCTGTATGGGAGACAGACATCTTACAAAGTGAGCTACACTCTAGTAATATTCACAGTATCTGTAACTTTTATATCCTTGATGACACCTGAAACGTCAAACCAAAGAACCGTTTGAAGCGAAAATTGTCTATTTTGTTGCTAATTTGCAGGAAATATCTAGAAGAAAGTTCTACAGAAAGTAGCTAAGGGTCCTCAGAAATGTAGCTAGGTTCGTCACTAGGCGTTAGGAACAGCGACAAAGTGGCACTGCCTCTCTCTCTGCTGCTAAAGCTACGGATAGCAAATGCTACGGGCGATGCCTGAGCGTGAACGCGCAAGAAGCAGCCTGCTCGACCCGAGCATCTCTCTTTTTCTGTGATTTTACAGAAAAACAGGCAATCACAGTAAAAATGCCAGGGCTCATTCTACAGGACCAGGGCATTGCAGGAGAATGTATGAAGAAGAAATTTATTATTTCTATACATGTTTTGGCTGTCAAACTTCCATAATGCCCCTTTAAATTAGGGTTGGGTGATATGGCCTAAAATCAACATCACGATATACTGAGGATTTCACCACGATAAATGGACGATAAGTACAGGTATGCGCAGAAACAAAAGTTGTCCACTAGATGGGGCTGTCACTTTTATTACTTTGAGTCGCATTTTTAAGTGACTAAAGTTGGTACAGCTTCTTTAAGGGACATGAATGTTGCCAACCTACACACATCTATTCGTTTTTTTAAATAAAATTTATTGACATGGGAAAAATTTTCTCGATAAGCGTTAGAAATTTTGATAACGATACATTTTTTATTTATTGCCCAGCCCTACAACCAAAGCCATACATTCTTCTATAAACACCTTCTGTAGACTTTTCATCTAGATGGACTGAACATGATCAGCCAAAGGTGTAATAGTTCAAAACTACATGGGCACATGTCTGGCTCGCTGATACAATTGTATTGTGCACTTTGATTTGGTAATTAAAAAATAATTTCCAAGCAGTTGAAAAAAATCATGATTGCTGATAAATTCGTACAGTAGGTCTGGCACAGACTGTAACGGGCTCGACACACGGGAGGCGACGTCGCCTCTCCTCCATTCATTTTCAATGAGACATGCGCGACAAAGCGATAATCGCGGGTCTCCCTCCTACCAAGAGAAACGCGAAAAACATGCGTGTGAAATTTTGCGCTCGTGCACGTGTCGTGCACAGGCGACCCAGCGACGCAATCTCAGAAAGTTGAAACATTTTCAACTTTTCATCGCTGTCGCTCGGACGAGGACCAATCAACGGAGGTTTCATTCACTGACCAATGAGCGGACAGGATGCTCCGTACATCTCCGAGCAAACATGGAGGAGAAGTTGATTATTATTATGTTTTATAAAGTAAAATCAGAAGTAAGATTTCACATAACTCTAGCAGCACCTTGTGAAACATCATATCTACCACTTTTTTTAAACTCTGAACCGCTTAAATAACCTTAATTCCCTCCAACCTGACAGCCAAACAAAACAACGGAAGTTTCAATTTCGCCATGGAACAGACCGCGTAGACGGCTTTGCCGCTGGTCGCTGCCGCGGATCGCCTCCCGTGTGTCAGGTAATAAAAGCGACAGCGACAAATTTTGCTGATCGCGGTCGTTTTTCGCCTCCTGTGTGTCGAGCCCATAAGGAGTGATCCACCAATCACCAATGTTCTTATTTAGCAGAAGCTGGCCAGGAGGGTTCCTCATGCTTGAGATCACTGTTTTTTGAAATTCACTGGCTATTCGATGCGTCAATCAACAATATACTGTGCCACTACTGGTTCAAGCTACAACTTCAAAAACCATTTTGTTGACATTAAGACATTATTTTAGATGTAAAGGAACATTTTTGTTTGAGATTGTTCTACCAATGATATGTGGCTTTTAAGTGTGAGTTTAAATGATAAAATGATTTCACATTTCCGAGTCATGATTCCAAAGCACTTTGTACTACAATGTATCATACACCCATTCACCCACACATTCACACACTGGTGACGATGAGCTTCAATGTAATCACGGCTGAAGCTGTTGAGTACTGGCGCTACTGGTCCCTCCGTACACCACCAGCAGGCAATGTGTGTTAAGTGTCTTGCCCAAGGACACAACAGCAGCATTCTCTGGTGGGAGCCGGGATCGAACATACAACCCTCTGATTCCTGGACAACCCACTCTACCTTCTGAGCTACTGCCTCTAATTTAGACGTTGTTTGAATTTCTGAGTGGTTTGATGAAAGCGTTTACTGCGCCTTCAGTTATGGTTGTATCCTTGATAGCGTTATACCTTTGGAGTCACAAGAATAGCTTTAGAATAGAATAAAATGGAACTGACTTTATTGATCCCACAATTGGGAAATTCACTTCCTACAGCAGCACATACACTTGAAAAGGAAGAAGAAAATAACAAGATTTCAGGTAAACACACAAAGGCAGTGACATATTATTGTGATCTTCAATCACTAAAAAAAACAAATAAAAAGAAAACTTGGGTTTCTAGAGCTTTGTAGCATAAGGGACACACATTCTATTGACATCCAGAACTGTACAATATTGAATACATACTGAATATTG